ATGTATTTGGGACTCCCTCGAATCTTTTCATCGATATCAGAGTGAAAACCATTTTTTTTTATTTTCCCAGCCCGGTAACCACGAATGTCTTACTTTGCGCACACACACTACAGAAATTATTGGTATGTTTACGCAAAGTCGATTCGCACTCGCTCGGGTCGGACCGCTTCGTGGGGCGCCGACGATGTCCCCTGAGATGAACGGACGGACAAACAGCTCACAGCATATCATTTCTTATTAGCTCCACGATATTACTTACATGATCAACTCCGTAATTACATAAACATACCTAGAGATTGAACAAACAACTCGGAATTAACACCTTACATTTACATAAACCCATGACTGACAGCCAGTTTTAGCAGTCAAAGCGACTGTTTGAATCATGCTTTTCCGTCGCTTTTACGCGCAAATCACACTGACATCGCACCGAACTCGTAAATTAACATCGCAGTTGTATCGCGGACATATTCACGTTTGTGTACGACATGAAAATAAAGCATCACAGGCGTTAAGATTGCCGAAAAGAGTGATTTTGCGGAGCACCCCGAAGAGGTGTTTCACGCTTGAGTGTCATTTGCATACTGAAAAGTGGCGGCCATCTTTCCTTTTATACACTCAGACCCGCGGTTTAAGAAAAGCACTTTCAAGAATTTTATTAAACATCTTTAGGATAATGTGAACATGTGACACGTCTATCTGCCAATCATATTAACATTAGAAAGCTTACATAATATAAGGAGTGTAGAACTACTTCATTGGACCTACAACACTGACCCTACTACATAAGATTCTACATAAGTACAAGTATGTGAGAACAATAGAGGGCGCCATTACATCTCCATTACAGCTACGTCACAGAACATTCCACGTTGCTAAGACACACACCACTCTACCATGTATTTCCATGGGTTTTTGCGCGAGCTGTTGTAAAATGCCGGTCGAAGAGCCAGTGAAAACAGCTAAAGTCAAGGAAACAGGACAAACACAACTTTGAAGTAATCATGAGCAACCAAATTCATATATGTTGCACATGTAATCTTGTTACACTGTTCAGGGGAGTTTCAACAAATATTCCAAAGTACAGTTTTCTGAGAGTTATTGGCCTTTGTTTTCACCGTAATGATTGCTGGACGGTGAAAACACCCGAATGTCCAACCCCGAGGATAAACACAACAAACTCACCACTAGGGGGCGCTAGATACAATAGGATTAAAATATCAAGTTTGAAAGACAAGTTGGTGTTTAAACATACCCTTTTTTTGCCTGGTTGAGATGCTCTATTGGCATAGTCATCCGATAACTGGAGGTAGTCTTCTATCTTCTGTGAAGCCGAGTCCTCTCGTTTACGTTTACCATAAGACATCACACCGTCAAGTTTGTCTGTAAATAAACAAAAAATAATCCCCAAAGTCTAAATAAATGCAACAATTTGAGAGGAATAACAAATTACTTTGATAGTTCACAGAAAACATGCAATCGTTTCACACAAGCACATGTATAATAACTAAATACCAAATAATTAAAATTGCCAATAAAATAACATAAATCAATAAAGTTGAATCTCAATATGATGGTATTAAAAGAGTCAACAACAACACCTTATAATATTAACTATACACTGATGTGTCCATATTAGCACCCATCAGTGTGAGTTAATATGTCTCCAAGCAAATCAAAATATTTACCAGGTACTAAAATATCTGAATGTAATTTAGCACACGATTTACAAGCTCTTTTCAGTAACCAGCGCCAACGCAAATGCTTTGAGCCGCAAAAGTAACGAGAGGTGACAGCGGAAAACAGAACGTACACGCAACAAAACGGAACGTAGCAGACTCGCCGATTTCTGCATCGCGTGAAGTTTAAGGTAATCCATGTTAAAAACGGTGGAATCATATACACCATTACTGGGTGATGATTTCTGGATTCCGTGACCTGCTAACTGTATGGGGAGTGTGTGGGAAACTAAACAATATTGGAACACAATGTGTTTTCATAAAATGATGGAATAAAGTAATAAGTGTATAATAATGTTTTCTTCTCAAAACACTAAAGCATTCTCAGGTTATGCTGCTCTAAGGCTACAAAACATTTTTTTTAAATAAGTAAATTTGCTAACTGCAAACTTAAGAGTTTTATTGATCTTGTCTAGAGCATTTGGCTGAACTCATCCCTGATTTTTGCAAATGTAACGACTACTCAATCCATAAGAAAAAAATCTAAATCTTTGATTACCGGTATAAATAATGTTATCAAATAAAGGAACATAATTTTTCATTAAGTAATACATTCAAATCTCAATACTACAATGTATGTTACAACGAAAAAACAGTTACGATAAACAAACTGTTTGAAAGGCTATTGTTCTATGGTGTGATCAGAAATTGTATTTACTGCCAATTATTAGTGCAAAGAATGTTGGCAAATATTTCACCGTGGTCAATGTGTTTCATTTGTCTTGGAAAAAGTCACAATAACACTTTGGCGAACTGCTTCAGAAACATTGTATTTTCACATGCACTAAGTCCAGATGTTGAACAGGCTGAACAGGAAGTCAGTGTTGCAGACTGCGTCAAAACCAAAACAGGACATTGCCTGTGGCATAACTTGTCCCAGATCTCGATGTCAGTTCGCAGTTTGATGCCTGAGATGTCATTTTCTTATTTTGTAAGAAACTGATGTTTATCTCCTGTTTATTTTTTTATTGATCGAGAAATTGTGCAATCGTACATTATGTGTACACATATGTGACTTCAGTCAATTCATTAAGTCAGGAATTATTTATTCATTTATTTATTAATTGTACAATAAATTGTATTCTCTATTTTCAATAATTATTTTAATAAAAATGGCAACATTTATTTGAATACTACCTGTGTACATTTAATGTTGGCAAGTGTCGAAGATTGCATCAATGTTTTGTTTTCTAAAATGGCCTCTAATGATTCAGTGATTACAACCTTGATATTCATACTAACGAGGTTTGGCTAACAAGGTTTCTAAATATATTAATTTGAACAATTAAGTATAGATCACAAAAAATCTGTATTACGGTATGTTGAGACAGATAATGACATGACTTACCAAGCTTTCCTTCTGAGGCATCCTCCCATTTACTTTTGACCACTGTTACCTAGTAGGATGATTTAATATTCTAAATAGTTGCATACAAATGACACAAGGGACAGTGTGTAAAATCTATTTAATTTACACATCTTACAACACTGACCCTGGTGCTCCAGGTAGTCTTCACTGCAGGGCTGGCTGTGGTTGTGGTTTGGGAAGAAAACTTGTAATAAATAGTATAGTTATCAACAATATAATTATTATTCATTAAAACATACTGAGAGAACATGTTTTATTGAAAAAAATGTATTTAAAAACTAAAAACATATAAGATTATACAACCTTAAATTTCAAACTTTTGCAAAGAACAATTTGTGATACTTCATATTATATATGCAATACTTGCCAAACTCATCATACTTGGTACCTTTATCATAAAAATGACCCTCCAGCAATCCCATCACATTTGGTACCTTGTACCATAGACATGACCCCTGCAATCCCATTATACTTGGTACCTCGTACCATAGACATGTCTCTTGCAATCCCAATATAATAGGTACTTTGTACCATAGACATGACCTCTGCAATCCCATTATACTTGGTACCTCGTACCATAGACATGTCTCTTGCAATCCCAATATAATAGGCACTTTGTACCATAGACATGACCCCTGCAATCCCATCATACTTGGTACCTTGTACCCTAGACATGGCCCCTGCAATCCTATTATAATAGGCACTTCGTACCATAGACATGACCCCTGCAATCCCATTATACATACTAGGTACCTAGTACCCTAGACACGGCCCCTGCAATCCTGTTATAATTGGTACCTTGTACCACAGTCATGGCCCCTGCAATCCCCTTATACAATTATAGACAAGTACCAGATATAGTTATCACATTATACATTGATAGCTATCCTATCAATGTATTCATTTCAACACTATATAGACATCACATTTCTTTATGTACAAATACTGGGCAGTACAAAAAAGTGGACCACGTATTCCTAACTTGTACCATTGGCAGGGTCCACTGAGTTATGTATGACAATTAAATTCATGCCACTTTCTCTATAACATGAGAAACTTTCCCTAAAATGCGAGACACTTTCCATAATACATTACATCCTTTCCCCCCAATAAATAACACACTTTCTCCAATACATTACATCAGAGTTCTCCCCAGGGCTTTTTAGCGCCGAGGTCCGCGGCGCTATACCTGTGAATCTCGGCGCTTCACTTGGGACCTCGGCGCTATGTGTTCCCACCTCGGCGCTTGATTTCATATTTGACATGCCAATATCAGATGTGAAAAAGCTTTGTTCGGCACGCCGGTCGGCCCCGACCGTCACTAAAAATTAGTGACCACCACGGAAATGCTTCCGACGAGGACTATTGTCTGATTGTTGGTATAATTACGTACCGACCGACACGCATCCTGCCAGTCGTGGATTATAATTTATAAACAATAGACCTAGTCGCACGATACGTAGCGCATAGTCAAATTTGTGGAATTAGCACCTCTTTGTTTGTAAGTAAATACTTTCTGCGATAGACACAGTCTCTAGATTGAAAGCTAAAATTATTTCAA